GTATGAAGAGGCTTTTTTTTTAAATCCAAACCAATCAAGGACAGTCTGAGTATCAGGTTTATAAAGCTGGTGATGTTTAACTTCAATGGGACACTCCCCAGGTGGTTCCCCCCCCCCCGANNGGTGGTTCCACCCCCCCGAACCGCTGCCAGCTCCGGCACAGGACGACACGGTGCAGGACGACACACCACCAGCTAACTGTGTCCAAAGCCGTGGTTCCGAGAGGTGATGCTGGGTGTGGCCGGGATGACGGGCAGGTAAAGAGTTTGTGTCGGTCGCAAAACATAAACAACCGCTGACTTCAGCCAGCCAATGCTAAAGCTAAAGCTAACCACTGCAGGAGCTAAAGTCAGCTAGCCGCCAAGCTAGAATAGCTTTTAAAAAGTCACCAGCGATGTGTAAATACATGTTTTATTCCACGGCAACAAGTTTAAAGCTGGGTTTTTAAGTTGCAGTTAAGGTGTTATGGTTAGGTAATTAACTTTAACCCCTTTTTGGAGCTAACTAAATGTTAGCATGCTAGTTAGCTGTGTTCACTTGCCACATTTCTTTTTCTTAGCTTTTAATTATCAACATTAACGTTATGTGAATTATTACCACTCCACGTCCCTTTATTTAACTTACATCTCCTTTATGGCTGTTCAAATAAGACGGTGATTCACTTAAAGGCAGCAGCTATTGCATGTTTTACCAAAACTGGGGATAAAGTAAGTTTGGTTGGGTCAGCTACTGTTATTTTAGTAAACTTAATTTTAACATCTTTAACACTAGCTATGTTTCACAAGAAGCCTCACACAAGTCCTCATCTCCCTTGAACTGTACTGAAATACTGACAGACACTTGTGGACATTGAGCTTAATATTAATAAAGATGGTATCCGAGTCTTGCTGTTATTAATCAGTGTGTTAGTCACTGTGTGTGTGTGTGTGTGTGTTAATAAAGGCTGCACATCTTGTCTCAGCTATGTTTCAGTACCTCCATCTTCCTTTACCAAATTAGGTGCTGACTGTGCAGTGAGTAAGTGTTACCGAGTTCCCCCAACTGATTCATGTATTACTCCCATTCCCCGCGGTGACAGCTGCTGAAACAGGCACAGCAGCTAACGTAGGAGTTCAGTGAGAAATGATAAACACTGGTCAGCCTAACGTTTCACAGGAACTCTGGGGAAGTGATGCACTAATGTGTGTGTGTGTGTGTTTTCTTGTCTCGTGCAACAGCATTGCTAATGCCCTGGCCAATGCAGCCTGTGAGCGATGCAAGAGTGGCTTCGCTGCGACGGAGAAGATTGTCAATAGTAATGGAGAGCTGTACCATGAGCACTGCTTTGTGTGTGCTCAATGTTTCCAGCAGTTTCCAGAGGGACTGTTCTATGAGGTAATGCACTCGTATAGTCACTGTAATTCATTTCACCAACACAATGATTCGTGCGCTACGAGTGTGGCGATGATTTGTCTGCTGCGCTTTTATATAGAGACTGTTTCTGTGGAGTGAATCTCAGTCTTCTTCTCTTTACAGTTTGAAGGGAGAAAATATTGTGAACATGACTTCCAGATGCTCTTTGCTCCTTGCTGTCACCAGTGTGGTGAGTGTTATAAGGCCTCATTCATTTAGGACCGGTCCAGATTTACTATTTGGGGGTTTGTGTGAACCCCAGATAATGGGGAACCTAAGTGAAGAGTAAAGCATCTCGTATTCAGATATATTCAGACTATGTGTGGGTCTAATTGAGACGGACTGCATTGGTAACAGAATCTCAAGGGATTATTTGGCATTAACCTTTGCTTCCCTGCTCATGTTTGATTTTATTTGGGGACTGAAGCCAGACAGACAAAATGACATTAGCACTCAGCCATATGGCTAGAAAAGAGGATTGTTTTGATTTTTTGGGGCCTCATGTGGGGATGAACTTGGAAACCTCGCCTAGTTGTTTGGCTTCGGGAAATCTGTTGTGTGTGGAAGGATTTCCATGATGTAATCACATTAAAATGTTGACTAAGCATTCATTTAACGCTGTCATAGAGACCTCTGGGTTCACACTGTTTACTTCTGTTGGTCCCCTTTTTGCCCTCTTGTTGCTCACCACACTCCACTGCACTACAAAACCCATGTGTTAGTAAGTCTGTTCTTACTTTTAGTTAGAACTTCCCACTTGTGTTTAGATCTCCCAAGATGCATTTTAGTGCTTTGTGAGCTTAATTGAAATACTGTGTATTAGTAATGTGTCCGGGGTGAGACAGATGTGCTCTAATTAAATTAAACTGACAATAACAATTGATTTAACATTAAAGAGTCACTTTGAGAACACTATAGGAAGCACTGTAGTGCATTGTAGGAACGCTTGGACTGTAATGGAGTGCTCCTTAGGACCTATGTACAGTTGAGTCGTCTCAAGCTGATCTTTCACTTATGGTTTCCCTCAGGGGAGTTCATCATCGGCCGTGTCATTAAGGCCATGAACAATAGTTGGCATCCTGACTGCTTCTGCTGTGACATTTGCCAGGCTGTGCTTGCTGACGTGGGGTTTGTCAAAAATGCTGGTAGGTAAGTATCCCTTCTTATTGCAGTCTTTATATAAGGCGGTGACAGCCTGTACAGCAGGTGGTTACGCACACGTCAAGCTGGTGACTCATTCACTTGCGTTTTAACAAATAACACAATACTGAGCAGCTGTGACAGAGTATGTCAAAATGTTATTTGAGGCTGCAGACTCACTTTGTCCTCCTTTCTCCGTCAGGCACCTGTGTCGCCCGTGCCATAACCGTGAGAAAGCTCGTGGCCTGGGCAAGTACATCTGCCAGAAGTGCCATGCCATCATTGAGGAGAACCCACTGATCTTTAAGAATGACCCTTATCACCCAGACCACTTCAACTGCAACAACTGTGGGTCAGTCTTACCCCTCCACCCCACTGTTAATACAGAAAACAGCACATTCTTGGCTTCTAAATATATTTTAGGTCCACATAATCATCTATAACAGTAGGTTCAAAGCCCCGTGCTCTTCTCTCTTTTATGTGTATCAATGTTTCTCTGTGCATAGGAAGGAATTGACTGCTGAAGCCAGGGAACTGAAGGGGGAGCTCTACTGTTTGCCCTGCCACGACAAGATGGGTGTACCAATCTGTGGTGCCTGTAGGAGACCCATCGAGGGGCGTGTTGTCAATGCCATGGGCAAGCAGTGGCATGTAGAGGTTTGTAAACAAGACTTAGACTATCAATACTGAAGGTCCCATGTTGCGTTTGCTTCCTCTAAAGAAAGCCATTAGAAGGTTGTTTTAGGAACCATGACCATGTTCATGGTTTGGTTATTGTTTGGAAAGAAGTAAGGATAAGAAAATTAGCTTTTTTTCAGTAGTCTGATAGCAAGGAAATTTCAAGTGTGACTGATTTGAACATCATCTTTGCTTACTTGATGTGCCCCAATTCCTTAAGAGAGATACACAAAAGTAAGTAAAAAAAAGAAACAAAATCATCGTAATTCTTTCTGTTTCTGTAAAAATTCCGCACTACAGGGAGTAAGCGTCAGAGTAACCACTGACAGGTTAATAATATTCAACAAATTTCATGCTGACCACCTTTTACAGTTGATATTATATGGCTTAATTTAATGCATAGGAAAATTCAATTCATTACATAAACCGCTTAAGAACCAAAACACTGTTATTGAGCTAATTTGAGGCAGTAGGAGAAATGTGAGCACTTTTAAAAAAGATAATATCTCCTGAGGCAGAGCGTAGCAGATCAAGTTGTGTTCATCCATCTGGAGGCTGCTGAATTTTATTCTGTTTAAAAAGCTCAAGACTATCAACAGTGTATAGCAGTCAATTTGATGCTACAGACGGTCATTAGCTCAAATTAATGTTGTATCTAACCGCTTGAGGAACTTCATCTGGCAGGCTCCAGGATCGCTATTTAAAGAACAGTGTGGGAACATTATAGAAATATTACAGTGGTTACGCCATAGCACATTTGGGCTAAATGTGATTAAAACAACAAAAGGATTACTAAGTAAGTAGTAATATTTCTCTATGGCAATTTTATAACTTAAAACATGTCTAGGTAAGTAAACATATTCATGCAACGCTTATGTAGTATTTACAGTGTATTTCCGACTACTATAAAGAAATCGATACCCTCTCCATGTGTGTTGCCACCTGTTGCTCTGGTCAGTTTTACATGCATTCATTAGCATCTGGCCATTTCCCTCAGTAACATTTGTTTTTGTTTTCAGCATTTTGTGTGTGCCAAGTGTGAGAAGCCTTTCCTCGGTCATCGGCATTATGAGAGGAAGGGGTTGGCCTATTGTGAGACTCATTATAACCAGGTGAGAAAAAACCAGCCATGTTAAGTAAAGTCTTTGGAAGACATGACAGACATCATAAATTGTGTAAAAAATGAATACCAACCCCTCAGTGCTTCACCAACTGAATGAATTTGCATTTGCTGAATACACACCTAATGTCCTTCTTTCTGTGCTGTCAAGCTCTTTGGTGATGTGTGCTATCACTGCAACCGTGTGATTGAAGGCGATGGTGAGTATCAGTGTTATATAGTTAATTTTCAGTACTGAGTTCTGAAAAATTGGATACAAAAGTTGAATGAACATAATTTCCTTTTTTTTTTTACCTTCTGTGATCCCCTCAGTGGTTTCTGCTCTCAACAAGGCCTGGTGTGTCAATTGTTTCTCATGCTCTACCTGCAATACAAAACTCACTCTCAAGTAAGTGATGTTTCCCATCAAAAGCTTATTATACTAACTAATCTTGTAACACTTACTACTTAACACCTACTTTAGTGATAGTCTTATAACTTATCTTTGTGTATTTCACTTTCCTGCTGCAACTTTTCCCCCTTCTCCTCCAATTTCTCTTCTTACACGCTTCACTTGCTGCGTCTATGGTAACTCAGAGATAAGTTTGTTGAAATTGACCTGAGGCCAGTGTGCAAGCACTGCTATGAGCGCATGCCTGAGGAGCTGAAACGCCGCCTGGCCCGACGTGAGCGTGATGCCAAAGACCGCAAGAAAAAACCTGCTGTCTGTCTGTAGAGTTATTATTCTTTACAACTCACCACTCCGTCCGTTGGTTGGTGCTATCTCTACCTTCCTTTTTTTCTGTGGTGTACCTTTTTTACTGCAGTTGTTTTGTGTTATTGCTGTTTGTGCAAAATCTCTTAAGTATGCATGGAAAATAAACATGGCCCAGTTGATGCTTATGATTATTGCGTTTATTGTTAATTGATCTGCAGATTATTTTCTCATTGGTTGCTTGTTTGAAATGTCAGAAAATAGTAAAAAAAATCACGTTAGAGAGTCAAAGGCGACGTCTTCCAGTGTCTTGTTTTGTTCAACAGGCTAAAAGCCAAAGATATTCAGTGTAAAGTGATATAAAACAGAGAAAAACAAGAAACATGCAAAGACAAACAAAACCTCATCAATTTGATAACACAAGAACAAACTGTAAATATAGAAACACTGCAAGTTGCACAGAACACAACGGTAATTAGTTTAAAAATGTTTTTATTCTTAATAGAGATGAACTAAGGTTGTATGTTTTTTTTGTTAATCATTCTGGTTGGATTATTCAGATTTGAATTGGTAAAATAGTAATCCGTAAAGACTATTGTTAGATTAACAGTATGTCTGAAGTAATCTGTGAATCATGCAATCCGAATGTTAAAACTTTAACTTTAATAGCGGGATAGAGAAATTGGATTACATATCTGGCAGTGATATGGTTTGTCTTTCCTTCTTTTCAGGAACAAGTTTGTTGAGTTTGACATGAAGCCTGTTTGTAAAAAGTGTTATGAGAAGTTTCCTCTGGAGCTGAAGAAACGGCTCAAGAAGCTGGCTGAATCTTTGGGACGCAAGTGAGATGCTTCCAGCTAAACAACCTGAGAGTATGTCTATGATTTCTGTCTGCATTACAACACAAGGACCCGTCCTCTTACCAGTGTATCAATATTAGTCATTTAAATCTGGGATCTACTTAAAAATATGAATATATATCACTGTGATGTTGTCATAAAGGTGCCTCTTATCAGATGTTTTTTCTTGCTGTTTTTATTTTTATATATGCAAATGTTTTTTTGTTGTTTTTTTTTTTACATTCCTAAATTGTCCAAATTTGTTATTCTCCCCTAAACAAGACATGTGGTGTACCAGTTTATGACGACTTTACCACAAGCATAATTACCTACTGCTATGTCTAAAACTTTGGAAAAGATTGTTCTGCATTATTTTAAATTACATGTGTGCCTTGAATATATGAATTATGTGTCTTAAAACGCAGATAATGGTTAAAATGTAACATACGTTATAATACAGTTATGCCTTAGTAAATCTATCTTAATTAGACAAAGTATCTAGTGAAAGCATTTATACCTCAGCACGAGTAATTAAAAAACAACCACTGTGTTTTATAGGATATTGCAATGATGTCTCCTGCTAACAGGAAAAAAATAAATAACATGTTTAAAGAAAAACTTAAAATGAGCTATTACTGGGAGCAAGGCTAACCTCTTAATGAGATGTGTTTACTCTAATACTCATCAACTGGTGATGTTAAATCTATGTGAAATGTTAGAAGTTTGTATGTAATGTTTAGAACCGGTTGTCTCTGAATTACTAATAGACTGTTGATTTTTTCCAATTTGCCCTTTAGTCCCAATGTTTTGAAACGTCAACAGCAAGCTGGGAGAGAATATGAGATCAGAGGGCGCTATTATGATTAGAAAGACTACAAATCCGAGTGTATCTTTTACCCTAACCCACTGATGTTAAGGCCTCCAGTATGAACTGTGTTTTCAGTATGTATGGCAGTGTAATGTTAATGCTTGTACTGTAAATGCCTGGGGTTTGTTTGTTTGATATTTTTAGCTAAATTAACGTTTGCAACTTTCTGAGGGAAACAGTTCAAAGGAATCCAGATGAAATGAACCTTCAGCTGATTATTTAATGTGAGAATACTTTGATGTTAAAGTATCAATGAGTCAGCACATTGCTTGGGTTGTTTGTACGTGCCACACAACAAAAAATGATCTTTGCTTGGGTAAGCATTTTTTATTATTAGAACACTTGCATATACATTTTATTTGCCAGAATTTACATCTGATTTGCCAGAAACAGAGAATTACAGTTTACTGTAGCACATATACTGTATTTGATTTTCTGCTAAATGATCAATAAAGTATTCCTAAACGCATCATGGTGAATTTCTATCTAAATTCCAAATATACCTTGTTAACGCTTGTTCAGGCTCTGACATAAATGAAATCCCACCGTCTACATTGAAGGCTTTCCACATTCTAAAAGTTCAGTTAATATTCTCAGACTTGGACTTTATTGAAGAGCTTACGTACGTAACATTGTAGCATGCATTATGTATGTATAGCATAGTTACATCACACACCTCATAAACATTCACAGATCCCAGAATGAACTTGCATTATAAGTATAAAACAGCCAAAACAACAAGAACAACATTGAATGTGTAAAACCTGCAATCGAGTTGCAATTTCATGCATGAAGGAGGCTCCTGTTAAACCGTTCCAGCTTAACCCTTACAGCCTAAATCATTGATAGAAAACCCCTCAATTTATATCTTCATACGCTAGTCATACTTGATGTTAGATGGAGTAGTAAAGGCAGAGTAAAAGACTGAAACTAGCTTATTTTTTTCTACAAAAATTATATATTTGCGTATAATATTACTGAAAATGATTCTGAAACCATTGGGAAAACAATAGTTGGTCTGTAGGTTTTCTTCAGGTAAGACGTTTCACAGCATTTTATCTTCTTGATCCATATCTATTTGCCACATTTCCTTCACAGACACAAGAAAAAAAACATTGTTGTCTGCTAATACATTTTTCACAGCACAGATATTATCAGTGACATTAACAATGGCTTCATTGAGTATTAAAGTGAGTCAGCATGCACAATGCCAGGACAATAAAACTGAAGCAGTAAAATGTGCTTTTCTTGCTGTGACGTGTCCAAATATCTGCAGTAAAAAGACAAATGTTCAATCACTTAGGTAGCTTAGATAACTTAGGTTGGTTCATACATGATTGGACATGTAGGTAACACGATAGCTATCATTGTTGGGCTTGTACCCCTTAGGTTAACAAACATGGACATGCTAGTTACTTCACACATTCACAGGAAAATCACCATTTTTTAAGCAGTGTTTTTGCTAACAAGCAATTTATCACAAGCTCCTGTTGCTAAACAAAGTGAAAGCAATTACTTCACACTTAAACTCTCTAGTTTATGAACATTAACTCAAACATTAATTCAAATTGAAACTGTAAACCAGTTAGGTGGACTATACAATAGAGTATAACTGTACTTGATTTTTTTTCTTCATGCAAGTATGAAGCTTATTGGTGGGTTTTCATCAGCTATACAGTTTTATTTCATCATGTCCCAACCTAAAAATAATAACTGAATATTTGTAGGAGAAATTGTTGTCTTGGGGGGAGTTTGATAAACCAAAACTGCCCAGTCCAGTCACGCAACTCATTACAATTAGTTTGAGGCCAGATAGAATGCAATTCAATTTGGTATCAAGGCTCAATGTCTCATCACCCCCCAGATGAGAACACAGTGAGCGATCAATTGAAATGCCTCAAGGGGACTGCAGTCAAGAGGTGTGTGTTGGAGTGGACGAGGGAGCAGGAGGACATTTGAGTAACAGTTTAGCAGTGACAGTGACTCACTGGCATTAACAGACTGAGACGTTGGGCACAAAGGTTGTGTATCTAAATCATGAGCAGGCGTCATCAACATTAACTACAGCAGTGCAGATGCTGGAGTGGTTGCCCTGACTACTTTCTTTATGAGAAACAGGTCAGAGGAAAATGGTCAGTGATGCTCATACTGATATAAAAGGCACAAATGTTACACAGGAGAAGTGTTCTGCAGCAATCTTATTCCCAATAAACTGGTTTATAGCTAATTTTAAGACACATATAGTATAGTGATTAATGTTTGACTACAGTGTTTAACAACCAGAGAAGCTAATAGTGACTTAAAATAATATTTTATTACTTTGGTAAATATATATTCCCGTTCTTGTCAATAAAGATCTCCTAGTCTAACTCAAGTCAAACAAGGACACATTTTGCATTCAATTTTAAGTCATTTTTTGATGATGAGCAACATGTAGGGGAGATCTGGACAGCTGGTTCTGGGAATGAGGTGACTCGCTCTTGTATTGTGGTCGGAGATGTGACAGGGAACTCAGGAAGTGCAGTCTGAAAGTTGCCCATTCACCGAAGGTCATTCCCAGGAGGACTTTAAGGTCATCTGCATCACCAAAGACCAGTGCCGAACCACTGAGGTCATTTTTTCTCACAACATCGACATACTTACTGGGGAATTTCATTCTCGCCAACTAGGAAAAAGAAGAAAATATAAGTATCATATACAGGAGTAATGTGATTTAGTTCCTTATCCTTGCTGAAATGATCCAAAAACCCTCTTCTGTTGAACTTGCAAGAGTTCGAACAAACTTTTGACTGTTGACACGTGAGAAATTCTTCTAAAAAGTTGTTAATTCTCTGCATTTTTTTAAAACATGGGCTGGGAATAGTGGAACTTGAATGCAAGTGCAGTTGCAGGTGACAGGCTGCACACTTCTAACTCCTCAGCAGTGTAACCAAATCTCCTTTGCCATGAAAACTCCTCATGCATGTGAAAATTAGATGGTGGTAGCTCAGGCATGATGGAAAAAGAGCAATTATTGACTTATTCAGTAAAAAAAAAAGTTGGTTGACTGCACTTTAAACAACATTTGTTCTGTTGTATTGCTGCGGTAGTAATACACCACACTTGCTGTTACCACCAGTAATCACAGATGTTGCCAAATCAACCAGGACTGAAATCTTAAAGATTATAACCTTGTAAATTCTTACCTCTGTACATACATCCTCTGTATCCATATTGATGAGAGTTGTGATTGGCAGTGGAGCTAGGTTCCTCATCCAACCAGAATCTCTCAGCCTGGATGTCCCTCTGATCTGAGCCATCTCCTTCCTAATTGTATGATCCAGGTTCACTGTCGTCATTTCAAATGTCTTCAAGTCTTTTAAAGTAAACTGGAAATCTACTTTAAGAAACTTTTCAAACATCTCAGGATCTCCATCCTGCTCGAGGAGGTCCTCAATCTGTGCACTCATCACATACAGCTCTGCCCTAGACTCACTGAAGACTTTCCATAAGGTTTTTGAATCATCAGTGTTGGCCACACCATCTCCAATGTCTGCTCTCTGCTGAGCATCTTCCACACACTGGATGATCCAGCTGAGGCGGCAGGGCCACTGATTTGCCAAGACCACCCATGCTGCAACGTATTCTGGTTGAGGAGGCTCTTTCTTCAAGACCTTCATGATTATCGCAGTCACTCGAATGGAGTTGATCACTCTCCTCATAGACATGGCGTCATCTAACATGTACTTGTTTAGATCAATTTTATTGCTGTCCATGATTGTGTTGACCAACTCCTCTACATCCTCCTCTTTTACATCCAGTGCTGGTATAGTTTTTTTGATGAATGGTTCTGACTCTTTTGTGTCCAATGGAATGAAGACTGTAGATTCATCTGAGGAAGATATCTTTTCGAGGTCCCCAGTTCTATGTCTATCTTCCCTCAGGATCACGTTCTCAGGGAGTTCCGAATTGTGAGTGAGGCTGTGAAATAAATTGCGCTTTGAATCATTGCACAGTGGTGGGACTGTGAATGCCAGAGTCACAATGCAGTTCAACAGTGCATATGCTCTGTCCTCTTTGCTGAAGCAGCCATCTGCAAAGTTCACTTTCTGTACAAGAACATCTGGGTTGACGGCCAGAATGGAAATAAACGGACTTTCCTCATCTGAAAGCAGAATGTTGATGGCATCCAGAACTGCAACAATTTTTTGGGGGGAGCACCGGTCCAGATTGGTGATCTGCAGTACCACTCGGATCCGTCTTCTTTCAAACACCTCCATAAATCGGATGAAGCGAGACAGGAACCACATTTCCTTCCTCACTTCATTCATGAAGCCTAGTTGGCTGCTGACCCGCTCATTGTCCATCCCTTTCTTGATGTTTAGATCCTGGCTGAAGATGAGGTTCTTAGCCATCATAAAGGCAAACCTCAGTGCGCTTGCTGCTGGTACTCCTAACGCAGCGATGAACATGCCCTCCAGCACACCCACCTGGCCTTTTTCACTTACCCCCTCCTCTGGTTCTACCTCATTTTTAGGAAGGCCAAAAGTCAAAAGGAATATGAGGAGGGTAATTGGAACCACAAGAATGCACAGGATGAAAAACCACAGGGGGCAGCAGCAAACCTTTTTGGACCTCCAATTGTTAGGACCATCCTCCACTATCTGAATTTTTTTATAAAAACAAAACACAGAAAAAATGAGAAGCAGGTTAGACACCACTGCCAAGTTTTTAGCTAGCAGCTTGAGATAGCACTGTGGTCCTGGGTTTGCTGGTTGGTCCACCACTTTGGTCCGGATGACACCAAATTTTGTAAAGACATTCATGGTTGTCAGACAATAATTAGGTTTAGGTTATCCCCTAACTTTTTTATCTAAAAATCCTATTTGTGCCTATTTATCCTTTGCAAAAACACAACACACCTTGCTTCATCATCTGGGCACCATGAATACTGTATATGTACACACACAGAGCCACTAGCATCACTGTGGACTCTTGAGAATAGTTAAGACAAATTACAAACCTGCTTATTGACTTCCTCTTCTTCATCATATTGAGCCACACGGTAGAGTACAAGCTGTAATTTCCCAAAGTTCATCTGCATGGCATGAAACAGTCGTATTGCTAACCCGGCCCAAAGCAGGTCACTGCCTGCAAAGTGCCAGGCACTAAAATGCACATAAATGAACCTGACATTATCATACTGCTGATTCTGCTTAGTCCAAATGGGCATGTAGAAGAGCAGTCGTCCAATGAGCGCTAGAAAGCCAGTAAATGAAGCTGAGCGAGGCCTGGGTTTTTTTTTGTATTCCTGCTCAATCCTTGAAGCCTCCTGATTCATGTTCACTGAAGAGACATAAAACATAATATTACATTAAGGATAAATCATTCAGCAAGGATGGGTATCTAAGGATAAATGATATAAATTAAGACAGAGAGATATCAAAACAATTAGAACAGTATATTGGGTTTTTAGAATGTTATGGGATTAAGTTGGTAAATTTTACTTATTTGGCTCTCACCAACTCTAATAAACTGCCCTGGACATGGCGCTCAATCCAAAACTTGTTCCAGGGAAAATAATCAGACTTTTCTGCATACCTATTCATATGCAAATGTTTGTGCTTTTTCAATAGTTCAAGTCAAGGCAACATGCACAATGGAAATTCTAATATAGAAGTGAATATCTGTCTTGCAACATTTCAAAGCTTTATTATTGCATGGACATTAATATGTGAGCATAAACATGTGCAATACTGTTTGCCAAGGTAAAAAAAAATCATTATGACAATTCAGGAGCTTCTGCAAGAGCTTCTGGGTACTACAAAAAACAACCTTAAACTTATCTTTTTCTATTAGAGTACGTGCTCCATTCAGCAGTTCAGTGTCACAAACATATTTCCTGGAAAAGGAGACTCTGTACATTGACATTGAAATTACATTTGTGGAATTCTGGTGTGACTTAATATGTGATTTTTTCTTTTTTCTCATTCTCACATTTTTCAAAAATGTTATTTTTAAAGTTCAAGCTGCCACCTGTTTGTCATTCGTGAGGTAAAATATCCTACATTTGCAGATAATGGTTTAAACTGTAAGTTGATGCCTTGCATTTTACTCACAGTTGCCCTCAACACTGAGGGGATTGTTATGTACATCTTCTGAAAGGGGCACACCGTCTTTTTAAGACAACCACTTGTAATTACTATACATCCCATATGACATTAAGTTGTTAGGGGAAATATACAAGGTGTGTGATGGGAGCAAGGCCTTAAGGTGGGACACACTTTTTCTTGCCATGCACAGTGTTTAGGTGAATTATGGTATGTGTACTTAAGGACACAGAAATCCCCTAGGGGCATTCAGAGCAGAAATATGTCCACTTGTGAAGAAGCCATGAGCCAGCTCTGAGGTGTCATTGTGTGTGTGATTGACTGCAGTGACTAAGTCAATGCAAGAATTAAACAATACGTTGACAGTGTTGTGATGATATTGTGCTGCCACAGACTGGCACTGACACTGTCACAGGACAGTAGTTTTTGCTGGGATACAGCTAGTGTTAACATACCTTCCATCTGCTTTAGGATCATCCTAATTCGATTCTCACATGAAGAGTAGAGTCCTACAGTTGCAGGTGATGAAACTTTTGTCAGGGTCTTGGACAATGCATATGCATAAATATCATCTGAAAGAAGATTTAAAAGAAAAAAAAACCCAGCATTGGTTAACTTTTGTATTCATATAAACTCGCAAAAACATTTAGCCACATAGTCTTCTGTGAGCAATACAAGTAACGTAAAGTTGAAGATTATTCAAAGAATTTCTCACATTAAAGCTGAGAGAACTGGATCTCAGGTATATGCTCATAGGACTAATTACTACAGACAGCCTTTTCTTAGCTCAGTAATGCTGAACTAAACTGAAACGACAATGAGCACACTCATGTCGGGAAAATGTTCACAGCATAGACCTTATTCACTGTGAACATTTACATTTTCAGTGGAAAACAGGAAGTAAAAATGCAGCCCTTGAACAGGAGTGGAGAAGAAGCCTACCTTATAGATTGTAATGTAGGTTATACTGAACTTAAACTTTAAACTGTAAATTTGGTATAAATGTAGACCTGACACACAGCAACTGCATTTGTCATCAAAAGTTAATAAAAAAAATAGCTGGATGAAGACTCTCTGGATCTAATTGGCAACGTGTGTTCAGTCTGTTGGAGTCAAAACAATAACAACAAATTAAAAGGCCCATGTGGAGAAGGCTAATTCATCCCTTTAAATTATATCATTGTCATTACTCAGTTCAACAACATATAGCCAATTGTCTCATCAGCATAATGGTATTATCCACAGTCAAGAACAGCAAGTTAGTTTAAGAAACAATGAGCTCTAAATGCATCAAATAACATAGTATAGACATAAATAATTCTAAAGAAATGGTAGAAAAACATAAATGAACCCACATCTTAATTCAAATTAAAAGCTTTAGTTAGAATATAATGAATATGTATATTAATATATGCTAACTGATTAATGACTAATATCTACCAATGTTTAATTGGATGTTTACAGAGGCTGGAGACACTACCCTGATTCCGACATTAGAAGCATTTACACTCAGTTCATGATAATGTTCAGTGTGTGTGTGTGTGCCTTGCATGATAATGAAACAGAAACTGAAAGTGGAATCCTTCTGAGCAGGAGCGATACGTGTGATTACCTGCAGATAACCTACCTTTTGTTGGATGATACATGTTGACTGTGTGTTGGGACATGCAGCTTTCCCAGAAAACCCCTCTGGCCTGAGGAATAAGAAACAGCAGGGACCTCAGTGCAGGTGATGAAGGGAAGTGTCTCTCTCTCTCTGTCTGTGTGTGTGTGTGTCTGTGTGCCTTCCATTTGACTACAGGCACCTCCCTTATTTCCACACATAGAAGGGCTGAATCTGGTGTTATGATACGTATCACGATTTAATATATTGTGATTTATTGCGATACTGTAAGCTAGGTGATATATTGCGATTTAATTAAAAAGAAAATTCAATTCAATCGAAAACTGTCATAGTATAAAGAACACACCACCATGTGAATACAATCTGAATTAAAAAGCCACCAGAGCAGTGGGATCTGCATTTGTATTAATTACTGTTGCTGTAACATCCAACGCCATAGCCCTCAGTTTAGAAACGCTGCTATCTATCAGTCGGGGGTTCTGAAATTAATAGTGTTTTTGAGAATCGATACAATATCACAAAACAATATACAATACGATGCAATACAATATTTTTCAATATTTTCTTACAACCTTTAAGTTTTGGCTTTGAAAGGCAGGTAGGATACAGTATCCTATTAGCACTACTACAGTAGCTGCAACTCAACTGTACTATTTGGATCCCATCTCTACCCTGAAAGAACTGAAACAATAGATATAGAGATGTGAAAGTACACAAATGAGCACTTGAGGAAGCTTGGTAGATTTGGTGTAAATAGTCCTGGGAAATATAAACATGCTGTGTATCATGTCTAAGCAGACAAGGTACATTCAGTCTCCTGTGAGGGGGAGCTTCAATGCAAAAACATATACTGGTTTGACACTGTTGATTCAGTACTCTCAGTTGAACTTGAGGATTTGATGTTGAATATTTGTTTGGTTAGAACACCCATGGAGCTAAATGGAAAGCACCCCGTGTAGAAAAGCACGTCCTTGAGAGTGCTTATGTGACAAAAAGAAAGCCCACAACCCACAGTGATTGTTTTTTGTTCTCTTTCTGAGTGCTGATTGACAGGCATTTATGTGAATTGTTTTGAGATGATATCCTGACATTCATGCATGGCTGTGCACCCTCCTAGAGGTCAGGCTTTTTTTTATGAGCAAAGAAATGTCAACAGTTTTTGCTGTGTCAATGATTACCCTGCATTACTTAGTCCCTTTCCCTGCTGGCTACATATTTCCATTTGTGTTCTTGCCTGCACATGCCTAATAGCTTTGTAGACAGTCTGACAGAAATACAAAACAGAGCTACAGACCTCTCTTTTTGATAAAGTTTATGTTTAACTTTGACGGTACAAAGTCTGACCAGTATGCACAAAAGGATACCAAACTACAACTGTAAAACTTCTGTAATGATACCATAAGCTGCCATAAAATAATGACTGATATTTTATTTTTAAGTAGAAAGTAGTTTCTGTTGAAATAACCTTACCTGGTGTCAGTTCCAAACTTCAGTCCTGATCTTAAATTTGATTAATCTTGAATCGTTAATTTAAACGTATCCAGGAAACAAAAAGGACAATGCAGCAGCAGCTAGGTGTGGTGAACCTTTTACCCCAAGACCTCAGTGCCGTAAAACTTTACAACACTGATAAGAGAGAACAAAAAGGCACCTGATAACCACAGGCTATGTCTGTAGACCGGACACAGGAAGTGAAGTCACATACAAGATGCAATTATTTCAGAGAGATGGAGCTGTACATTCCTCCCATTCTCCTTTTTCCAATCCGTTAGCCCATACTCCTGCTCCCAATCTTCTCTCTATTCATAGATTCGGAGTGAAGTGGGTAGTTCCTAAAAGCATTACGAGGTAGAAAAATCCCCAAATTCTTGCAATGGCTCCTGGCATTCACTGTCCAACTTTTTCAGTCCATGGAAAAATGTAACAAATGAGTGATTTCATGCTGGAGCCTGGGGTCTGCATGATTCATGAATTGAATTCCTAGTTTGGAGTCCCCCAGGTTAAGAATGGCTGGATTGCTCTGACTGGCCTGAACTGACATGCATAGCAGTTAAGATGCCAAAGCAACAGCACCAAAGCCTTTTTTGCCTAGAGCAGGATTTGTTATGACATAACTGGTTAGTCAAGCTTTGAAAAACAAGCTAGGAGCCTAATTTCCCTTGGCATATTAACTTTTTTGCCTCAACCTACTTTTACCATCTGGTGTCGCAGTATACCTCACAACACAAGTCCTCCACAAACTACTATAAATTAATTTTGTGAAATTGTTGCATTTAAAGCATATAAATATCTAAAAGAAAGCACACACTGGTGTAAACATAGATGAACACTAACATAGAGCTCTGTGTGCACAGTTATATTTGGCCAGAGAAGCAGGCAGGTTTAAATGGAAAGATTTTTTAAATTTAATTTAGTTGATTTATGTTTTATTGCTCATTATATGATAATTTAAGGGCTACACTTCTAAGTAAAACATTCATTTCTGATGAGTTGTGTTTTCCTTCTTTATGACATACAGATTTTATTCGTTAAGCTTCAGATTGACAATGAAATTATTTATTTGCAATGTAATATTATATGTAAGAAGTGTTTCACGTGTTTCACCACAATTAATAAATAAGATAAAAACTACTGTAACAAACTATACTGTATGAAAACATACACACAAACACCCACACACACACACCACTAGCAAATGTGTAGATCGTCAAAACTTTACAAGCATCTTAGAGGGAAATTTTTTGGCTAGTTGCTGAAATGAAGTTTAATTAGTGTACGTCTGATTAAGATTTAAAGTGCTTGGCCTGAGGGTGACTAATTCTGTCTTTACTCTGAGTACCTGATTGTTCAACTACTTTAATTAACTTCACTGTCATACAGAGAGTGAGGCTGTGTGTGCATGTGTGTGTGTGTGTGTGACAGAGAGCAGTTCTCAGTTATCACTTGGCCAGAAGTCTTTAGCAAACCAATACTGAACGAATTGGATTGTATCTCCCCTTCTATGAACCTTCACCACACCTCGCCCTCTCACCACATAAACCTTGCAATTAAGGTTAATGAATTCACCTTCATGATTAATCCAAGATTGGTATCAGACACAGATAAATTATATTTCAGGATTGGCAAGACTTGGAGTGATTTTTTGCTTAAGGCAAGGGGAAATTAAACTAACATTGTAATATGTTAGGTTCAAGGGATGACAATTATTTTCTGTCAGAATTTGGTTCAAAACGTGCACACTTTAGATCATTTGCATCAGCTGTGATGCATGAACAAGTTGGATAATGTGTGACAGTTTTTTTAAAATCATGTAATCTAATGAACCAACAGAGGGTGCTATAGTATTGTGCATGAAAGCAGGACAATGACATTTGATCAGCCGCCCTTCATCGCACTTCTTTGGTCTGTTTGGTATGTAGAAGCAGACCCGACAGTGAAGGAGACATTTACTGAAAATTGGGTGCGGTCAAGAGCTTAAGATGTGCTAGAACTTCTCTTGGATGGGCTGATGATCATTTAATGTAAATCAGTAACTGCAGCACACAGAGCACACACTAATATATATATCTGCCTTTATTCCTTATCCATTGTTCCTAAGGGCAGACAAGCCTCACTATTGACACAAAACCTGACACAAGCTTGCTTGGCCTAATTAGCCTCAAGACCTCTTGTTGGTGTGATCTATTGATCAGTCTCACTGCAGATGCTGCTAAGTCACAAGGAGAGGACAGCAAAATAGCCAGATATACTGAAAGTAAGCACTGCCAAATCTGGGCATGATGTCTTAAGCTTTGCTGCTCCCTCCGCAGAGCTGTGCAGCAAGCAAAGATGATGATAGGGTCTTCACCCCGAGGTGCAGGGGTCCAGATCCTTGCCACAAGCTGATTCACACACACTGATTGTCCTTTATTGTTACCAAGAGGATGATGGCACCAACAAATCGAGGTTTCTGAATGCTTTGACCCCCAGAGATCTATAGACACTGTCTGCTTTAACAATCCCACCAGAGAGAGCAAGATGAAAACTCCTCCACACTCACCAGATCCACTTTTTGTTTGATACCTCTGCGGCAAATATTAGTAGAGAAAAAAAAAAGGCAGCAATGAGATTGCCACCGAAGAGCCCTTCTGGGGCAGGGGTGAGCGAAATAGTATGCATGCTGATCTTGTATCAATCAGCACAAACATCCCATACACGATTATTTTTGCCAGCACCTTCAACCTCCTTTCCATTCACATTCAGATCCCAGATCACATCATCTCATTCTCATCTATTTCCATTTCTCCTCCTCAAGCTCTCCCTTCTCTAGTAGTACATCCATTTCAATGTAAATAGTGTCTATGCTTATCTGCCTCTTAATCCTCCTCCCCTGTTCTGTACACCCTTCCCTCAAATCCTGGAAAAACTCATAGGAGAAACATACGTATGTTTATGAGGCCTGCCACACAATACGTCCTTTGCTACCTCGTAAAAGGCAATGCATTCTTCTTTATGGGTAGCACAAATTCATATTCCCCTTCTGTGTGTGAGAGCTACATTCCCATATGGTATTACATTTATGATGCATGACAAGGCTTACAATTCTCCATCTCCTCTGCAGCATACTGCGAGTAACCAGAGCTGTCCAAAAGTCATGGCTGTGACAACGGGGATCATTATACATTTTTCTTTCTGTGTGGCTGCCTCTCTGTATTCCTCTCCATGACTCCATGAAATCTGTCTTTATCCTGCCATGTGAGAGTATAGCTACCAGGTGCCAACCAAGCTCTTCTCTGGGTGGTGGTGTTGGAATGAGCGTCCACTCTTAGACCTTTTTACCAACACACAAACGTACACGTATGTGTGCACACCCGCTGATCCTGCCTCCTGTTTTATTGTCAATATCAGCCGGCTCAGGGGTTGTAGGGGTTGACGGCTGTTGACAGGGGCTGGATTGTAGAGGTAAAGATGATGGCAGCTCTTGCAGAGATAGAATAGCTGTATCTTGAGACCCCTTGGAGGGTGTTATTAGGCTGTTATAAAATCTGCTCTCTATCAGACCTTCACCGAAGCAAAGGGGAGGATATATCCAGATGCAGTGCAAAGTACAAGTGTTGAGTCTCTACCTTCCTCCTATAGCTTCCCCTTATCTACCCCTCTACTTCCTTCTCTCACACACAAACACACACATTTCTCTTTAGTTTCCTACCACCTGTACCTGTGTTTTTCAGTCAACACAGCCTGCAGTCTCCCTGCCTCTTTGCACAAAGGAATTGTTTTATCATATAAAAAAGGGCTCTAATCTTGTTTGTTTTATATTTTATGAACATATACACCTCAAGGCTTGCAGCATGCAGTGCATCATGACACCTAAACCTGCTGTCAGGACAAAGATTCCTGAACACTCACTGATCATACCAGCACATCCGTGCTGCTGTAAAATCATTGTAATGTGTCAGCCGTTATTACAAAGAAATACACAAAAGTGTGCATACATGTACTCTGCACAATATGGCAGGAGAGTGTGAAGATGCATGCATAACACTTCAGTTCAGAGCGATACACATATTTGTGCATTCAACAAGTAAGCAAGATCAAACAAAAAAATCTGTTATGTAGAAATAAATGTGTACTTTTTGATCTTTTCAGTGTATCCACAGCACAGCAACCAACATTCAGGCTATTTCACTTTTTGTATGCTTTCATTTTGATGGCATTTAACTTTACAACACAGGCGTGTTTTCTCTATTTTAACCGTTTTCCTCTGGTCGTTATCACGTGTCTTGGAGTTCTTTTTTCCCTCCTCCATGCTAACAGGATGGCTCTATGGCAATGTTGGTCTGTCTGTTGGTCCACCGCTTTGGTCCTGAAATATCTCAACAACTATTGGAAGCATCGGTGCAGACATTAATTTCCCCCTCAGGATAAATTATACTACCTTTGATGATTCTCCGATTTTTCATCATCCAATAAAAATGTGTCCAATAATTTAATTTACCACATTTGCAAATATATTGACATTCTCACTATCCTCATCTGTACTTTGTATTTTGCTCTAATTAGCAAACAATTGGCAACAAGACACTAAACTAAGATGGTGAACATTTGTCCTTATAAAAATCAACACGTGTCGTTGCATTTAGGTCAAAGCACCACTGTGATGAAGTGCAGCCTCATAGACGGGGGGGATCTAAAGAAAGAGAAGGGCATGGAGACTTTAACAATCACACATATCAATGTCAAAGATATTTGAACTCAAAAACAATAGCTTATTGAGGCACATTAGTAAATCATTGAATAGAAATATCTAAAGGTGGTAGTAGAAATCAGCAAACTGATTTATATACAATTATTCAGACATTTTTCCAAATACATGCCTATCACTTAGTCTAAAATGTGAACAGATCATGGTGTGTTTCTGACAAAGACATATTCTGAAATAAAAGAATAAGTGCTGGGATTTTTATGTCCTCAGCAGAGCCTGCAGTGTTTATAACAGTAAACAAAGAGAGAATAAAGAGTAATAGTTTTGCATTTGCTATGAAAAAGGCTGTCAGGTTGGCAATTATAGTTGTTTGAATTTTGTACAGGAAAGACTAATCTGATTCCACATGGATAGGTAAAATACAGCTTTAACACATGTTGTTAGAGAAATATGGATCATTCAAATAATGCTATCCAGGTGGCATACACATAATAAGGTGTAAATAAGATTTGAAATAGTAGTGACATGTGGGAGTGGCACAGGTATGTGTGTTATTCTTTTGACAGAAAAGAACCCGGTTACATCCATTCATCAAAACATAATTTGTCATACCTTCACACACACACACACACACACACACACCAAACAGGCACACTTACAAACATGCGTATGGAGATTTCGCTGTTTCAGAGGCGTCAAGATGTAATACTGATGTCTTCTTATTCAGGACAAAGGTTCTGTTTGCTTTCTTTGAACTGTTGCATCTATTATAAAGTATTCAGATGTCAGGTCTGTTTACACAGTACACAGATACAGCAGCTATTTAAACATCCAGGCTGGAGAAAGGCAAT